AAATACTAAAGAGTTCTAACTACAAAGGATAATATGTAATTTATTCATCACTGTTAAAATTATCTTTTTACTCATCATTTTTATATTATTTATGCACGTATTATTATCTTTCGTTAGTAAAATTGAATAAATAAGATTAAAATTTTCACTTTCATATCTAAAGTTCGAGTTGTTAAAAAATAATTAGTCCATCGGTACGCATGCAAAGCAACTAATCATGCTGAAATATCGCTTATGTCGATATGTGGCAGTCACATTAGCAACCATTAATTAGGTGATGAAAAGAACCATGAGAACCTTGGATGCATCGAATTCCACTTTGACCGGTCAAAATCGTCATCGAGTGAATCAACCTAATTAAAGTACTCTGTTGTGAATAAGTGGGATCTCAAGTTTCAATCATAAAGAACATCACTATTTTTGAAGTCGCCTCTCCGTTCATCAGCTTGTCACTCATCAGCACGGTTTTGGAGGAGTTGGTGATGCCGAGACTGCTGTGATCAAAACAATCCACTTCGTAAACTCAACATACAACAAAGAAACAGAAATAGGTTTCTTTCTCCTTTTGGCTTCACAGTTAAATGTGATTCCGCGCGTCAGCCCTCTCGTCTTCATCTTCCACCCCTGCTCGCACTGTAAGAACCCTAAGATCCCTGCACAACTCCATCAAAACGTCAAGGGATGCAGGGATTGCTTCACCAATATCCCACTCAGTATTGATCAAGTTTCCCGGATGGACGTGAACAGACGATATATGCATAAAGGATGTTAATATTTGAAGGGATGTACATGACAAATACATATTTGAGAAATGACAAATATGATAGAATATTTTGACTCAGAAGAGAGAGAGAGAGAGAGAGAGAGAGAGAGAGAGAGAGAGAGAGAGAGAGAAAATGACTCCATCAATCCACAAAACAAAAATATTTCTGAAACAAAGAAGATAATAACTATCAAGAAATCACATTACAGAATTTTAAGGAAGTTCTTGACATTTACATCGAATTATTTAATCAGTTGAAACTAAATACACCCTTGGGATCAAAATCCAAGAAACAGAGGTACACACATCTTGTATTCTGGTTTGCATCAGTGTTCTATGCTTGAAGAGGATATGATGTTTGATGCTGATAATTCATTTGGTTAATGGGAACAGAGAACCCTTTGGTCTCTGTTGATGGTGATGCCAAATACAGAGAGCATCTATCAGATGAAAACATAATTCAATTGGACTAGCCAGGAGAAACCGCAATTTATTCCCCACTTACACAACAATGAGACCTCCCTAGATCTTTCAAGGCAGATATAATTGTGGAGTGCACAAGATGATGTAAGCCAAATTACTTCACGAGGAACAAGCTATTCCCAAACCAGAAAAGAGAATAAAAAGGTTGAATTAAAGGGATCATCTGGTTGATGGAGCAGCAGAAAAGTGACAATCCCGAAAATGAGAAATTTTCTAAGTCAAATGTTGCATTTCCATTATCCATTATTGGAATCACAAACTGTAATTGCTCCTACTGGCGGCGAGAAAATGAAAATAAGAAACTGAAATTTGTAGTATTTATGAAAGCAGATGCTCCTTTGATCAATAAAATTAGTTGGAACCAGACCAGGTGTTATCTAAGCAGGAAGCTCACTTTGTTTAGTAAATTTTTTACAAAGAGCTTTGTTAATGTAAAAGCCATCAGTTCTTGATTGCAGATGGACAGTTAAAAAGTATGTTAATAATGCTTTTTGACATGGTGCACTTAGACATTAGTTATCTCTTTCCTACATTTACTAAATCATGTGGCTATCAAAATTCATTTCTTTACTGTTCTCTTCTTAGGCATTCAAGCACTGGAACTTAACTATTAAAAATTTTGGCTCCTAGCTTATCAAATAACCTGCAAGTAGAACTTTGATAATTTCTCTAGAAAGAACACTAACTTAGAAGAGGATACCAGCAAGTAAAATGTCCCTTGAATATGTATTGTACTATCTGTTTGAATGCTAGAGTAAAATTGCTGAAAAAGAATGTTATCAAGTTTCATCAGGGATCAGTAAATTTTCTTATTTTGTTACTACCTAAGTCTTGTCTTTTGTTGCGAATTACAGGATGAAGATGCTCATCCTGCTTCAGCCGTTGGTTGGTCTCTATTCTGGTATGAAACAATCGACAAACAATATATATTACAAGCAGAAACTCAAGTGCAATGCCCAACAATTGCTTTTTTGTATTTCATTTTGTTCCTGCAATCATTCCTAAAACTTAAAATAAAATGATCCACACGATTATATATACATGGAGATTCATTAACACAATTCTTCAGGAACAGTGATTTAAAAAGCGCTAGGCGCCAAAAGGCGCCAAGGTCCACAAACGCCCGAGGCGCTCACCCGAGCGAAACGAGGCGTTAAATTATAAAAATATATAATATAATTATAAAAATATATAATATAATTATTTAAAATTATCTAAATTATAAAAATATATAATATAATTATAACAATAATTTCAAATAAATAAAAATTAACAACATTAAAATTAAAATAATATATTATTAATCTATTAACAGAAAATTAATCATTTCAAAATTCAAATAAACTTAATATTAAGAGTATACTGAGCCTGATGGAGAAACGAGGAAGCAGCGGCGAGCGGCGGCGGCAGCAACGGCGAGCGACGGCAGCAGCAGCAGCGAGCGGCGGCAGCGGCAGCAGCAGCAGCAGCGGCGAGCGGCGGCAGCGGCAACGGGAAAGGGAAAGGGAGCGGAAGGCGCGAGCAGCGGGAGGCCTCGAGGGAGGCGCGAGCAGCGGGAAGGCTCGCGGGAGGGCT